TGGGGCAATTCTTCTCCGTCCTCTACGGGCGCCAGGAGTGGGACTTGACTAGTGCATTTGGTTCTTGGGTATGACGGGGGTCATCATGGCCCCTTCCTCTGAGATTTCTCAAGAGGTACTGAGTGGTTCGCCCGTTTCAGAGCCCTCACCCCAGCACATGCCACTGCAGTCTCAGCATATGGTCCCACAGCACTGCCATCGTCCAGTCCCCTTACCACCTCCTTAAGAGAAGGGGCTAGAGTTAAAATGCCCAAGCTCTATGGGTCCTCAATTCTGGTTCAGCCAGAGAACTGAGGGCTTCCCAAGAAGCCCTTCTCCAGCAAGCTTCTGCCACACCTGCTACCACGTGGTGGATCTGGCCTCATGCTACCCCAAGCAGCCCCCAGCTGCCCTTGCTGCCAGGCTGTCCGTCCCACGTGGGTCCCTCCACTCTCTGTGCTGCCAAGACAGAGGCACTGGCCATCAGGTTGTCTCCCCGCCCCAACGGAGGCCTGGGGAAGCATCCTCAGAAGCACTTCCCTTTTCCCCACTGGCACCCAGTGCCCTCCCAGGGGGGTGGCTCACCTCGACACACGGGCACACACTTGCCCAAGCTGAAGAAGTGCGAATGCAGCTCCTTGGTGAAGCAGATGTCTGCAGCTGCAGGGGTCCTGCAGTGGGGACAGATGCAGTCACCCTGGCCCCCTGGCCCCTGCCCCCCTGGGTCCCCCAGAATGCAGCCGGAGGCACAGGAGGGCCTGCCGGGCCGCACCCCGTGCCCTGCCTGGACTGCTGGACGCCGCCTCCTGGGCAGAGCAGGAGGAAGCAAATCTGGGCTCCTCACCAACGCATCAACTTCAGGTTCCAGATGTGACGGAGTTTCAGGATCCCTGCAGGAGAGGAAAGGCTGTGGCCACGCTCACCTGCCCCTGGGGAGCGCCCTTTTCTGGCACAGTGCTTCAGGGAGTGGAGGTACGGGCAACTGCACTACCACCCCCATACAGCTCACAGTGCCACCTTCCAGGCTCTGGGCTTGGACCCCAAGTTCATTCTGGCCCCTGTCCATGCCTTACGAATCACTGCTTTTCCTGCCTCCCTAATGTGGTTTCTCACCCCGCCCTTCGCCATCGCTGCTGCCACCACCCAGTCCCGTGAACTTCAAAAGGCTCTCTGATGAGTCTACTGCCATCCACACCTCCCTGTGCAGTCAGCAGATTGGGACCTTCTAGGTGGGACGTCCAGGCTCCCCCATGGGGCTTGTTGATGGGTGCACAACCAAGCTGGACAAAATGGGGACAAGGCCACAGGTCTTGCAGCCTCCAGCTCAGAGCTGCTTCAACAGGGCACCCTGTAGTCCCCAGGTTTGTGCCCACAACTTCGTGGGACCTTAACCCGTTCAGAGCAACGAGCCCTCCAGCTCTAGCTGTTGCCATTGTCTGGTTCCCTGAAAACTTCCCAAGCCCTGACCAGACCAGGTTGCCGAGGCTCCTGAAAGGCCCCGATCCAGCCCTTGGGGCCCAGCCCGGGCTCTTTCCCGCTGTGGTGCACCCCGCCCCCGGCCCAGGTACCCCAGAGATGAGGGTCGTCCATGCAGGACTGGTGGTTGGAGACGGTGATGAGCGGGGTGCTGGGGTCCCGGTTCTCGATCAGTTCGTACAGCACTTCCTTGTTGTGGACGGTGAGGTGGTTCATGCACT